TATCTGCACGGGGCAAAGGGACAGGGTTATTTTCCTGGACTTATTAAGAGGAGAATCATGCAGGGGATAGCACTTTGCAAGTGGGATCATGGCTCTGAAGCCATCTTTCTGTAACCCAAAGCGCTCAAGAACTGGAAATATTGCAGTCGTGCCAGATGTATGCTGGGCTGGAAGATTTTGCTGAATTCCATGCAAAAACGAGCGATGCAGGGGCAAAGGGACAGGGTTATTTTCCTGGACTTATTAAGAGGAGAATCATGCAGGGGATAGCACTTTGCAAGTGGGATCATGGCTCTGAAGCCATCTTTCTGTAACCCAAAGCGCTCAAGAACTGGAAATATTGCAGTCGTGCCAGATGTATGCTGGGCTGGAAGATTTTGCTGAATTCCATGCAAAAACGAGCGATGCAGTCAAACGAACAGCCCCACGGTTACCAGCCTTGGTGGGAAATTCCCTTTGCTCCCTTTCTTTTGAAACGGGTGAAGTGTTTGGGACTAAAAGCCTGGCTCTGCCCGGTGATGCTGTCACTGGTGATGCTGAAGGATAGCATCAGCTATAGATAGATATAGATATAGAACAGCAGAATAGGAGAAAGTCGGGGCACTGCTGGCATTGGACGCGCAGAGGATATGTACATTGGCCAGATGTTGCTGCAAAAACTAGATCAGCAGTTAAACGGTTAACCCAACAGACATCTCCTATTATAGATGACTTGATATTAACTCGAAAGCCTTTCCTAGAAGACAGCAAGTACTACGGCAGCAAAACCATCCCGATCCGTGGACGGGTGTCTCTGCACCCTGGGCTCATCTTTGGAAGGGTTTTGCAGCCACCACCACGATGCAGAAGAGCTCCCGTCGGAGGGCACAGAGCACATTCCCATAGCAGGGGAGGATTTCCCTGCAAAGCCAGCCAGAGCCCATCCCCGGAGCACCACGGCTCCCGGGATAGCACCGTGAAGACTTCGTTACTCGAGCCCTCGGCACCTAGTGCTATGGTAATTACTTGCTACTACAATAAAATGCCACCCTGGTGTGACTCACGCCGTGGGGCCGGCGGGATCGTTTTCCACGCATCCCCATGGTTGATGCTGTGGTCGGTAATTAGCTTTAGAATATTTTGGAACAAAACCTTCGAGTCAAACTCTGCTCTCAGTCACCCTGGCCTCCCTAACCCTGATCTTAATGGGATCTCTTCTTGGCTGTAGCTACCACGCTAATCTCTCTTTAGTCAGCCACAAACAATTCACAGGAGAGTGGAAGCCCCATTTCAGCTGGCTCCCTGGAAGGAAACCATTTAGGAAATCTAATTTGACTGCGTGAGTCACCTCACCGCATGGAATTGGACGCGTTGGGCTTTTGTTACGATCTTTTCAACAAAAGCTTTAAATTCAGCTCTTTGGCAAAGCAACGGAGATCTTGGGCGAGGGAAGCGGCTGCCTCGATGCCCATGTCCCAGGACTGAAATTCACCCCCAAGCCCAAGGAAAAGTTATTGAACTATTTATATCCCGCATCAGCCCTCGAAATATGTGTCCAGCTCGCTGCATTGGGGTGAGATGCATATTGTAAACTCCTCGGGGCAGCAAATTTATTTGCAGTGGCATACTGAGCCCGTCACCAGCTATTATTTTAGGAAATAAATTCTGCTTGGCTTGCGTAATGCCGCCCCGAAATAAACTTAGCGTAAGCTCCGGAGTTTGGCGAAGAGACCAGGCTGTTGCAAGGCCACCTGGCTGAGGGGGTTTGCACGGCTGCAAACCCCAGTTAACGGCACGGAGGAGCAGCCAAGCTCTCCTCGAATCCGGCTGCTGCAAACAAGGTCTGCGATGCTTCGGGTGCGGAAAGCAAACCGGCTTTACGTGACCTAGGAGGAGTCCTAATATTCCTAGCCTACCACTTTTGCAATAAAAAAAAAAAAAAGAAGAAGGGAGAATGAGAGCGAAAGCTGGTTTTTCTTCCCCAAGCCCATCTCTGCAGACCCCTTCTCCCCGGCGCCTTACTTGGATCGGTTGAGCGAGCCGGATATTTTCCTGCAAGTCGATCCATTGCCGCCGCACACCCCGCACTTGTCCAGCTTTTTGGAGGACCCGACTACATGATCGCAGCCAGCCTTGATGCATTGGCCGTGGACGCAGATGGAGAGGGTCTCCGGTCCGCACAGCGTCCCATCGATCACCTAGGAAAAGGGGGGATGCAGAGGAGCAATTAGGGCATTTGATCTGAAATGGGGTAAAGAGGGGCAATTATCATCCCCAGGTATCTTACTTTGGCCTCAAAGACTTTAAATTCGCTCCTCCCCTTGGCTCGGCAAAAGAGCTTGCATCGGTCTCGGGGTGAGACCCCCGCATACTTGGGAACCCACTCCAGGCGATTCCCTTCCAGATCTGTAAAGTTGTAGCTGTTGTACTTCTCGCACTGCTGCTCCCGAAAGCTTTTGCCTGAAAGGAAAGGCAAAACGTGACCCAAAAACCGCGGGAAGCCGGCAGGAACCGCCATCCTCCTCGGCCGACGCGGAGATGCAGGAGCAAGCTGAGGACAGCGGGAGCGCGCAAGCAGAGGAGGGATGCCACACACCTCCCACCCAGCCGGAGGGGATCACAACCCCCAGCAGAAGGCTATCGCCCCCCCCCCAAAAATATGAATATTCAAGGGTGAGTGGGTTCTAGCAATGGGTTCTGGAGGAATGGGGGCGGGAGGTGAGCGTGCATTTGGGAATCGCATCCTTGCGCTCTGGGGATGGCTGGCTTTGCAAAGCTGGGCTTACCATCCGGCGGGCACTCGGTGGTGTGGCAGGACTGGTACTTGGCGCGCTGGCCCTCGCAGTACCTGCCGCCGTGCTGGGGCTTGGGGCTGTCGAAAACGTGCTGGGGCTGGGGGCTGTCGCAGTGGGGGTAGGAGAACTGCACGCCGCCGCCGCAGGTCCGGGAGCAGGAGCCCCAGGGGCTCCATGGGCCCCAGCCACCATCCACCGCTGGCTGCAAGAAGCCACGAGAAGATGCTAGATCCGTCCCCTGAGCTCATCCATCCCCGGCTGCTCGCTCCCAGGGCGAGCAAAGGTTAAAATCACCCCCCCAGCTCCTCTCCCCGCGTCACCAGCCAGGGCCCTGATCCAGCAAAGCACTTAAGCACATACTTCACATGAAGTTATTACTGACTTCCACCAGTCTGTTCATGTGCTTAAAGTTAAGCTTGGGTTTAAGTACTTTGCTGACTGACTCGGAAATCACCGCTAATTCCCTCGGCAGGGCAAAAGGCGATGATTTAATTGCAGAACTGTGGCTGCTTGCTCTGGTTCGGACCAGCCTCG